TACTTGTTCTTTCGACGAATCGACTTTATTTTATTCAAAATAGTCCCCTTCGAACTCAATACAACTATTTGCACGATCTAACAGCATATCAAAACATTGTATTATGGCCTCGATAAGGATGTCCTTCAGGATGGTGGTACAAGCCTTTTGGATGTCTTCAACGTCCTTATAATGCTTTCCTTTCATCGGTAAATGTAATTAGGCGAATATGGGGCATGATTGATGGTTGAAACGCGATTTTTCAGTAAAAAAAAATAGTGTGACGGAGCATTATCAGCCGGCGCCGGTGGTGTTGTGGTAAGCGTGACTGCTTTCTAACACCCCAATGGGTCTGGGTTCAATCCCAGCCGAGGTCGGTGGGATTTTTCTGAGGCATAAAAATCTCTGGTCACGTCTTCCTTCGGAAGGGAAGTAAAGCCGTTGGTCCCGGCCCATGTGTGTTGTTGAATGGGTGCGATATCCTACGCAGGTGTGGAAGCTGCCTTCCTGTACATTCGATTGCCGTCAATGGATGGCAATCGATGTCCGTCGGTGATTGGCACTAGATTGCGGAACAGAGACCGACGTTAAATATAGGGAAGAAAGAAGAAGGAGCATTATCATGCAGCAAGCGCCAATTTCCTTCTTCGCGGTATTCGGGCCGAATACGCCAAATACGATGCATCAAATGCTTCAAAACATCAAGGTAGAATACAGCATTAACCGTTCGGCCAATTGGAAAGAACTCTTTATGAATAATCCCCTTCGAATCGTAGAAACAAATCAACATTGTCTTCACTTTTGACTTCTCCAAACGGCTTTTTTTTTTCGGACTTGACTCGCTTGGAGGTTTCCATTGGGCTTGGTTTCTGGATCAAATTGAAAACACCCATTTCACAATGCTGTACAGGAAGTTTTTGTCCTTTCTTGCCTCCTTAATGATGGCTTTCGAATGTTGAATTCTCAGCAATTGTTGGTCGTCAGTCAACTTGTGCGGAACAAATCGCGCGCATACCATTCGGAGGTCCAAATGTTCAGTCGAAAAATTGTTGAAATGGCGGTACTTAATTCCATATCCACAACTCTCACTGACGATTTCGGCTAATATTTGATGAAATCACTTTTTGAATTTCAGCTGGCCAACATGTTCGTCATCGTTTAAGTCTTCACAGTAAAAAAACAATTTTGATATCCCATCAAAGTGGATACACTTTGATCATGTCAAAAATATGGTGTTACTTGCCAAAAAGGACAAAGTTATCATTAATACAATGCATGAACTGACATTACGCTGCTTTTACTGCATTTGTTTAATTTTGTGGCCTTAAAAATTTCATGAGATTTTCGACAGGAGCTGGGATATTTAAAAAGTTCTGTTTATTTTGGGACACCTTGTATTGTTGATCAAAGTATGCCTTGATTATACTCTGCAACTAGAAAAGAAGTAAAATGGTGATTTTTGATATATTAGCTGGTCATTGGCTCTGAGTGGTCATCAGATGACCCGCCGAAAGATTCAGAACATTCGTAAAATTTATTTGCTGCGTAAATTTGACCAAAGTAGGCCTTGGTTTATGTCTGCATTTATATGCGATGTGGGAAAATGAGGTAGCGATTGAAATTCCAGGATTGACCTATTCTGAAACAATCTAATGAACATGGACGTCCCCATAGATTCATCATAAAATTAAAGGGGCACTTAGAGAATATTTGGCCTTGAAAATCAGCTCTTAAAAGTGTCCAGATTTATGGACAAAGTTTTCGGATTCCGGTCCATTACAGTATGTAAATACTAACCCGTTTTTTCTATGTTTCGAGATCATCTTCGGTGGAAAGCAACCCGAGCCTTGTTATTATTTACTAGGCGTAGAACGTAAAAAGGACTTAAGATGTGTGCCGTTTATTAGTGAAGGAATCCTGTTCAACAAGTCTGAACTGGTAAAGGCTAGGGTTCAGTGGTAGGTTAAAAAGTGGTGATCTACCCGTCTTAAGGGATACTTGGCATAACAAATTCTTTTAAATTCAAATTTAAGGTTGGATTTATTACATCCTTTGCATGTGTGTTCTTGTAATGGACTGCAGCGTGTAAGCAAGATTTTCTAGAATACATATTTTTGTATAAAACCTTCACGAAATGATTTCTAGACGCAATGTGAAGGGGAAAACAATTTTGTACAAAAAATATGCTAATATATATATATATATATATATATATTTTTTGTTTATTAATTTATTTGATAAGGCTCAACCGAATTAACTTTACAGAGCCGAGGATTCTTGGTCACTATACAATACATCTTAAAACTATAGTCAAAAGGTACAACACAATAAACACTTTATCTTCCGCTATCCAAAAAGCCTCCTCCATCAGAACTGGAGCCGCTTCCAGTGGTTTCATTGTATGGCAAATTGTTGTACGCCAACGAGGGTCAGAGCGCGTCCATTGCAGCAATGGACGCAAGACGTGGTCAGCACTCACACACTCATCACGAAACGGTTGCTTTCCAAAGTCGACGACGCATCGACTGAAAGAACTGCTGATGAAGAACAATGACGAGGACCACACAATGGTTGCTGCCGAGAAAACAGACGATCGCGTAGCACACATCGAGAATGGTCTGCTTTTGTCGACAGCCGAGTGAACACTGATATGCTAATATATAAATTAACAAATTATTTTAAAAACCTTGCAGCGAAACATTGAAAATTCTGTATACTTTTCATGCAATCTGTGATAGAATCTTGCATTTCCCGGTAGGGTGTACCCGATCAACCATGGACATAATGGTTCAGACCTACAAGTCAGTCAGTTAGTTACAAATCCACATCTTTTTTTGGGGCTTCCAAAAGTTGCGGCCTCCTTTCGATTCAATAATCTATGTCAAATAAGGTATTGAGCCAATGAATTACGTGTCAAACAACGAGAAAGCCAGCTAAAGCCACCTGATCTACTTTTCACATTTCCTAAACCGATCAAAACCTTTCCAGTGAGCTGTACGTAACAATCTCACAAATCGTACTTCCCTCGCATCGAACATTTCCGCAGGCCCCAGTTTTCATAACAAAAATTATGCAATACCCTGAATCACTTCCATCAACAACATTGCGAATGGCTATGTCTACGACAAGACAGGGGGAAAAATCGCGGTCGTGTGCTGCATTTAATTGACTCACTTATTAACACCATTATCATTTCTCCTTTCGCTGGGACCGTATGGCGATCTGTGCCATAAAGTCATAATCGAAGGCCCCCAAATCTAGCACCAGCAGCAGAAAGAAAAACAAAACAAAATAACGGCTACCTAGTCGTTCAAGCGATAATAAATCACCACCTCGCTCGCACACATCTCGAGACGGAAAGGAAGGCAGATAGGCACGGAAGGAAAAAAAAATTCAGCGCCTCCCTCGCCCCTATCTACGTCCGATCGACCGATCTATGAGCACACGATCCGGTACCCCCGTTATCACATATTACGTAAACTTTCTTTCACCATTCGCGACGAGGAGTGGGTTGCTCTTACGACGATGACGACGACGGCTGCATGATGGGCACTCTCACTTTCGTTTGGCCTTTTGCCGATATTTATGGACCCTGTCTCTTCCTTTTTTTGCCTGCCAATAATGTGACGTTCCACAGATGCAGTTTTTAGCCCGGTTCATGGAGAGCGATTGAACACGTTACCTGTTTCAGTCGCAACCGGTTCAAGCCGGCTAGTTAAGCGTGATCAACGTTTATGCCTTAAAAAGACTCGCAGCCCTTAAAAATGCGCAGGAGGAAGGGGGCTGGCTCGATCATCATCATCATCATCATCATCATCATCATCATCATCATCAGCATCACCATTTCACTACTATCATCGGACGGACCCGCGAGGATGGTTCGTCGTGTTTCTACATTTGTACTGCGGGTAAAAGGTTTCCGCGCCCGTCTGACTTCCCTTCCTCACGATGGAAGATAAGTGGATATGATGTAAATCGTTAATCTGCTGAGGGCTGCGGTCAACCGGTATAAGGCGCGCATGCACTTGCCTGCCACAGGTAGCTGAACCTCCCCAGACGATCTAATAGTGGTCACGATCGCCTTTCTCGGTGATGCCAGCAGATCTAATGCGGATTACGGTCGAGCGTTTGGGAAAGGAACAAGTGTTTGGCGATTACGGCATCAGCTGGAGCTGAGATTTGTTTTTTTTTGGTTTGAGGAATCCAACTATTTTTTTACGAAAGAAGACGTGAAAGTGGACCCCAGTAATGCCCAGTTTGTATTCGACAATTGTTTGATGGTGATGAACATCTTCAGTTGTCAGATGAAAAGTAAGCAGAGAACAGTAGCAAAGCGATTTTAATACAACCCTTATATCTTATATGTTTTCGATCTTATTCCTTGATTCTCCAACATTTGTCCTCCATCCATGAATGTAAATTTGTCCAAACATCCATGCATGTAAACTTCTATTTAGTTTAATGCGAACTAGCAACTTGCAATAAATGTTACCATGAAATAACTCATAACTTTAGACGATCTATCTATACTGTAAAATTATGATATATAACACTCAATTTATGATCATCATATTAAGTAGAAATTTACACTACTTTTTTAAACTGTGAGAACAGAACTTTTACTTGAAAAGACTTTTGACTCATATTATTTCAAGATTGAAGTCTGGAATTTCGAATTTCAAATTGAATAGAAGATCCTTTATTATTAAACATTTGAACTTTACTCTAATAATCTTATAGGTAAGTATCTCAAAAGAAACGACTGTGAAAAACTCTACTTTAAAAACTTGTGAAGAACTCAAACAATTCGAAAGACAAAACTTTCATCCCATCAAAGTACATTATGCTTCCGCTTTTGAGAGCTTATGATTTTCGTCGCCACCCTCTTTTGCTTCCAATCCTGTACATACTATTGTGCCGAACCGCCCTCTCTTTTACTCTGCCAAACCAATGTAATCCAAATTTTCCATTTATTTTTCCTCTCCTCCATATATATGTCTCATAAACTGCTTTTGTTTTAGTTGATCTCGCAATCTATAGACCATATGTTATCCCACCTACCATCCATAATCCCTACCCCGTACCGAAAGCACACACAACAGTAAGCAAACTGCCAAACTACCGTGTCATCTATCCTCCTAAAAGAGCATCTAGATCTAAAGCTAGCTCCTATGCAACTACTACTACTACTACTACTCAAAACGCAGTTGGTGGTGTTGGTGGTAGCGGAGGCATCGGCAGCGTGGGCAACGGCGGCGGTGGATTCCGTGGTGGTGTCCGGTCGGAACTGCAGTGCCAGCACGAGGGCGGGACCTGCGAGTTTTTCCTGCTCTGCTGGATGTCCGGCGGGCTGCTTCAGGGCTCTTGCGGCGGACTGCTGAAGGGGTGCTGCCATCGGACGGCCAAATCGGCCAACATCGGCGTCGAAAGCGGCAACACGATCGATCTAACAAATCTTCCAAATTACGAATACGGTCCGATACAGAACGATCCCAGTGAGTGAACCAACAATCAAACGAAATCAAATTTAAGTGAAGTTTGTTCTAATGGGAAGCCAAACAGGATCACAAACACACTTACAAACACCTAAACATACTCACACACACCCGACGACACACACACACACATGGCTGATCGAGAGTTGAGATGAAGAGTTTTCTTTTTCCTTTCAACCGAATGCTATATTGATTTCCTCACTACTATTTTACACTCACTTATCGATATTGTATTACCTTTTATCTTTTGTTGCTATTCTGGTTTTTAGAACGAAGGGTTTGTTGTGGAGTTTGATGCTTAAAATGTTCGCTGTCCCTTGTTGATTTGGCATATTGGATCATTTGTTATTTGTTACAAAGCGAGTATATTCACATGGTTTTCGTTAGTCTGTTAAATGTTGCACAAACATTGTTTACAAAGCATGCTAAATGTTAATTATACATTATTAATGGTCGACTAAGGAAAGGTTTAGGGTTGAAAGGAAACATTCCCTGCTGAGAATTAGGGTGCCAATGAAATTTATGGGGAAAAAGTGACAGTCGAATTTTATAACCGTACATGTACAAAATTTTTATTGCATTGAAAAAAGACCCTTTACTAAATTTGAGCTCAATCTTACATGATTTGGGTTATTTTATCAGAAAAAAAATACGAAGTAGGGAAACATGAAATTTCGGCACTCGCACATTTTTTATATCGATGACTTAAAAATGCATGAAACGTCCAGATCCAGTGTTAAATCAAATCATTTTTATGCCAAAAATCCTGATGACATTTTTTAGAAATTTTGTTTTTATGCCCAATGACTTAAAAATGCATGTTAACTCGATTTTTTTTTTGTCAAAAATCAACTTTCCGGATTTTTTTTTCGTAAATCCACGTTAAGTAAATTTTTGGCAAACAGTTTTTTTTTACAGATAACACTAAATCTCGACGTTGCATGCATTTTTAAGCTATTTGGCACCAAAATAAAAATCGATTCCCGAAAATCAGTTGGCATCAAAAAAATATTTGACTTTCGAAATTTCAGTGTCAGTGTATAAATTTTCTACAATACGGTTGTTTCATGTTAAAACAAGACTTAAGCGTTTTATACATTTTTAAGTCAATCGACACAAAACAAAACAAATGTTCGATTTCCGAAATTTTATCCACTTTGAAAAAAATTTCAATTGAAAAAAGTTCAAACTTTGACGATTTTGCGCAACCCTGTATCACAGACAAACAGATATAACACTCGCAAGATGTTCATCGAACAAGCTTTTAACTGTCAATTTAAAAGTATCGTAGTTGGTAGTACCACCACCTGTGGCGCGCATAGTCATTTCCCTTGAGTTTGACGTTTACACACTATCGCCATCTGTTCAGCGTACTACCCACCACAGTGTACTCAACAGATGGCGGTAATGTTTTAGCGACGATGTTTTACAGTGAGAATTATTCAATGTGTTATGTCTGTTTGTCTGTGCCTGTATCATTTCCGAATGAGCCAATATTCTGCATAGGGTATTTTTTTGAGGAAATTAACATTTTGTGTATGGTTGGTTTCGTTTTTATTTATTTGCGCCTTACTGAGATTAGATAAGAGGAGTTTTATATTGCAACTAAAAAAGTGTGGATTAAGAAGAGTTCCATATACTCAAACTCAAATCAAATGATTTTAAGACAAATAAAATTATTCGCAGATCTTTCTTAACTTGAGCATTTAACCCCCATCTTCCCTACTGCTTTGTTTTTATGTTGAAGGTATTATAATGGTTATTAAATTTCATAAATTTTAAGAACATGCTTGATAGTATATTTGTGTATACTATCAAGCATGTTCTTAAAATTTATGAAATTTAATAACGCCGCTCATGACTGATTTTACAAGGCATTTCCAGGACAATGGTTACTTGTGGATTTTATCAAACTTATTCCTAATTAATTCCATTATCAGAGAGACATATAAAATCACAAAATGGATAGTGTGATAGTCACTTTCTCTGGCATAAAGCTTTCCTTTAAGTCTGATAATAAATTTGTTCCCGTAATTGCTCTTTTACTTTTGCTGTAAGTTGTTGTAAGAAAATCTGGTCTACGCGATTGGTGGTACCTTCTACCCACCGCCATTTCTAAGCAATCTTTCAACCAATTGAGCTGATTTTTCGTATGTTGTTAGAGCCAACAACACACTTTTCACAAAAAGTCAGCTCAATTGGTTGAAAGACTGTTGAGAAATAGCGGTGGGTAGACGCAAAGACGCACCACGGAAATCGGGGATTCCTGTATTATTTTCTTGCAGCAACTTGCAGCACAAGCAAAAAATCAAGTACGCTAACAAACCTTATAACAATAGGTGCTGTTCACAAATTTCGCAACGCACAAAAAAAATCTTGTTTTTGAACCCCCTACCACCCGTATGTAACAATAAGTAACACTTATCAACGTTACGCTTATCAACGCTTATGAGATAACCAAAATTGAGATTTGATCTTTTATTGTGTGTAAAGAAAATATTGAAAATTTGTTTAAAACCATAAAAACTTTTCAAGCAACTAGAAAACATTTAAATCTTTAAACTTATTAACAGAATTCTTCATGCAAAGCGTTTGGGTTGAAGGTGGAAAGGAAGGGGTTCGGTAATTTTTGTTTTATTCCCTGAATGATTAGCTACTTTGTTATTGCCATTTTAAACTAATTCGCAAATTGGTTATTTTAACCGTTTTTGGTACCATTTAATAATTTCATGTTATGGCTATTTTAACAAATTTAAAACAAGTTTACGACAATTTTATAGCCATGTTGTTGTCTTTAGCTTTTTTTAAGCTGAAGTTTCCTAGAATTTTTTGATAACGACCTTTCATTAGGAATAAGGATCATTTATGTAATTTAATTTGTTTTTCTTCATCGGACTTAACGTGTCTAAATGAAACCTGATGGGGAAAAGCCTAGAAAAGGCGTAAAAACATGAATCACAATAATACAACATGATTACAACGAACATTAATCAAGTCTATAGTATAAAAAAAAGTTATCCTCTTATGGCATAGAGTTGTCCGTGAATCAGGTAGAAGTCCTCAGCATGCAGTTGAACCAGAAACAAAAAATAAACGTGTACATTAAATGGACATTTACTCACGAATTGAAAATTATTAGAAAAAGGATTAGGAAAAATTTGCAATGTTTCCTGGCAAAAAGAAATGACACCAATGCATTAGGAAGGTTAAACTGTTTTTTTTTTATATTTAATAAATTGTGATGTGATGGCAACATGACGTATGCTCCATGACCCTTTTGTATCCTTCAGAATCATCACATATAGTTATTGTGTTGCAAAATCAGCGACGCCGGTGATGAAGTGGTAACCCAAGTAACATTGCAAGTTTTATAGAGATTGTAAAGCATGCTACAAGTCTAAATCATGGTCTCCAGAACCCTAATAAAATCAAAATTGTTACTTGGGAAGTGTGATTGCCTCTCACCTCAAAGGATCTGGGTTCACTCCCAGTCGGCGCCACCGGGATTTTCTGAGGCATCAAATATCTGATCAGGCCTTCATTCAGAAGTGAAGTAAAGCCGTTGGTACCCGGTCCATGAGTTGATGGATCGATAGAGCGAGCTGCAAACTTAAAAAAAAAAGTATGTAAATTTAGGTGCCTGAGACTGACATATACGAGCGTCAGTTTTGACATAAAATTGAGTCATAATAGACACGAAATTCAGCTCAATCAAACGTAAAACATTGCAAAACATTAATTTCAATCGTGTCAAAAATATGGTGTATATTTTTGGCCAAAAAGGACAAAATTGTCATTTATACAGTGCATAAACTAACATTATGCTGATTTTACTGCATTTGTTTATTTTTGTGGCCATAAAAATAACATGAGATTTTTGACATGATTGAAGTGCATCCTCTTGGATGTAATAATAAAAAATCTGGGCTTCGTGGTCGTGCGGCTAGCGGCGTCACCCGTTGTTCAGGCGTATTGTGAGTGCCACGAAGTGAGGGTTCGATTCCCGCTCCAGCCAGTGGAACTTTTCACAACCCGGAAATTTCTCTACTGGTCTACTGGGTGTTGTGTGTTGTTCATTGTCTAGTGTTAAGTATTCAGTCTATACAACCTCTGGTTGAAGACGGTGTCAATTGTCTTTTTTTATTTTTTGCTGTGTACTTTCGAACTTTTCAGTCTCGGAGCACTTAATTTTACATGACATGTTTATTTACGTCTCATCCTTTATGTCAAAGATGTTTGTTCGAAAGTATGTTTGATTGAGCTCAGAGCACCTAAATTTACATCTATGTTTCTAAGTGTGCAGCTCTCATACATGGGCCCTATCTATCGATGCATCAACTACCAGGTACCAACGGCTTTATTTCCCGTGATCAGAGATTTGATGCCTCAGAAAATCCCGGTGGCGCCAACTGGGAGAGAAAAGTTCGTTACTCGACGAAAAGTACGTTTGATTAAGCTGAATTTCACGTCTACTATGACTCCATTTGATGTCAAAATTGACGCTCGTATATGCCAGTCTCAGAGCACCTAAATTTCCATAAATTTTTCTAAGTGTTCACAAGTTAATAAAATAAAATTTCCAGATTAACGCACTGTCTGGCAATCGGTGCATAACGGTAATAATATGGTAAATTTTCATCGCGTCATTATTTGACATTCTCATGTAAGAAGATATAAGGATAAGCGAATTTTATTTCTAGAAACTTTGTTCTACGAACGTCATTTTGCTGCAGAAAAGAGATTTCAAATTGAATTTATTCAACAGAGAGACGTTTTTAGAACAGAACTTTCGTAATGCAAAAATTATCCAAATTAAAGTTTTTTTTGCGTCTATCGGTGGGTTTAATGAACCTAGCTGAACCACGGATATATTAATAAAAAAATCTCGTTCTAGTATGATTTCCGGAGGCCTTTTGGGTTCTTTAGTAACTACACAGTTCGAAAAAGTAGTGTAAATTCCTGTTCAGTATGATGCACATAAATGGAGCGTCACATATCAT